AGAGCGGGTCAGTACAGACGGGCTGCCCTGGCAGCCGGGGGCAGAGCAAGGCAGGAGGCACGCTAAGCTCTGACCCCGGCTCTGCCCCCCATAGCAACATCCTGGACGTGATCCTGTGCAGTGCGCTCTAGATGGCCCTGCTTGAGCAGGGGGGTTGGACTAGACGATCTCCAGAGGTCCCTTCCAACCTCGGCCATTCTGTGGTTCTGTGATCCTCACCTACGCTGGGTGCCTCTGTTGAGCTAGAGAAAACGGCCTTGCTGTTGATAATTACAGCCTATGGGCTGAGGGCAGGCTCTCCAAGCGGTCCTGGATGGTTGGATAAGGCCCAGGCCCACCTGCAAACTGCTCCTGCCCTTGGTCAGGATGGGAGAGGGAATGGGGGAGGCTCCACGGCACTGGGAAGTCCCCGTCCAGGAACCAGCGTGGGAAGGAAATCACAGCAGAGTGTGGGCACAGGCTGTCTAGGATCCTGGGAACGCTTCTGGGGAGGGCAGGGAGAGGCACGGGGCTCCGGGCTGGGTCCTCAGGGTTTGGCCCAGGCTTTATATGGCTCAGGCTGTTTAACAGCCCTGTTATATAGCCTGGACAAGATTTTTGGCTTTCCTGGAGCGGTTTCCAGTTCCTCTCCGTGCCTTCCTCAGTTCAGCCTGGCTGAGCAGACGGCCTTGGGCAGGGGTCTGTCCCTCACTGCCTCCCTTTCCTTCCCATGCCTTCTCCTACCAGCTGGAGTCCAGGGAGACCCAAGCACTTTCAGAGCAGGACCAAGGCCACAGCTCCAATCTGGAGAGCACCCTCATGCACCTGGAGTATGAGAAGCAGAGGTGAGAGGTGCAAAAAAAAAAGGAAAGGGGGTAAAAATCTGGAGGCCGCCAGGCTTTCTCTCCTAGGGGTGGCAAGACCACGGCTGAGCGCAGAGCTCACACCCTTGCCATTCACGTGCTGGTGGGGCTGGTCTGTGCCCTAGGGGCGCCGGTTTGTCACAGATGAACTCTCTCCTGCGGGAGCAGCTGGAGCAGATGAAATCCTCCACCCAGCGCCTGGCAGGGGACCTGGAGAAGGCCACGGTGGACGTCCACCGCTTGAGAGGCGAGCTGGAGCAGTACCACAACAGAGAGGTGAGGCCCTGCCCTGGCTCATTCTCTAGCCCAGGCTGAAAAGGACCTCGCGGGTCTGTGAGGTGACACAAAGACAGTTATCGGACAGGGAGAGACGGGGCGGTGCGCGGTGGGCAGATTGGCAGCTGGGGCAGAGGGCATCTGGGGAGCCATGCCCCGTCTTGGCATCGTGCTAACACCCCCTGCAACTTGACCCTCGCATCCTGCTCCCATCCCTGCCAGAGCTCTGGCACCTCCTGGAGGAGCGAGCGTGGCGAGACCCTCCTGCTCTGGCACCAGGCAGCTGCGCTGCGCGGCCGCTTCATGGACCTGCGGGCCATCACGGAGAGGTGGGTGCCGCAAAAACACCCCTCTAAGGAGGACAGCTGCACGATCGCCCTGCCGAGGATGGCTTTGGCGGATGGAGCCTGGGGAGGGTGGGAGGTGGGGCCTATGGGTGCCGGGCAGGGCAGGCAGACCCCCAAGTCCAGCCTCAGAGAGTGTGTCCTACCCTGAGCCAGAGAGGGACCTCTCTGTCCCGTCCGTCAGGGTGAGGAACACAGCCAGGGCTGAGGGCGTCACAGCCTGCTGCAGAGGAGCTGGAGCAGAGGCAGGCTGCAGAGCCCCGTGCAGCTGGACAGGCTGGGGATGTTGTACCAGCGCTGCAGAAACCCAAGAGGATGTTCTCTCCCATCACCAGGGGCCTGGCTGAGGCAAGGACAGACATGGCCAGGACAGCACGGCGCCTCCACACAGCCTGCCTTAACCTGGACTCCAACCTCCGCTTGTCCCAGAGCCACACCACCTGCTCCCTGGAAAAACAGACCCTGCACGGGGCACGCTTGGAGCAGCAGCTCCGGGACAAGGTCCGGGAGATGATACAGCTCCAGAGCCACTGGGATGGAGAGAAAGTGGAACTGAACTCCAGGTGAAAGAGCAGCGGCTGTGGTCTCTCTCCATAGGGGTTGTTCAGAGGCCTGGGTCTTTGGCAGTGAAATTCCTGACTCACTGCCGTCCAACGTGCGGGGAACTGGGTGTGCGATACGGGCGGCACATTTCTCTGTGGGTCAGCGTCTCCGAAACAGGACTCTTAGAGCTGCTGACACCTCCTGACATATTCTTCCTGGAAATGACAAAACAGTGACCCTGCAAATAGCCGTGCGTTACTCGGGAGATGGCTGTTTACAGGAGCTACCAGCAGCGGGTGATCCATTTTCCTGCGGTGCAATGCCTCCATACGCCATGCCTGGCCCGTCGTCCAGCTCCATCCCTTCATGCAGAGGCTGTTGCCTCTATGCCAGGGGCTTGCGCCATCCCATCTGCCAGGCTCCTGCACGTAGCATTCCTGGGGCACTCCTCTCTTTCAGGATAACGGAGCTGAGCCTGTTAGCGGAGCAGCTGAAAGAGCAGAACATGGAGAAGGACGAGTCCATCGCCTGCCTCAAACTGGACATCCAGAAGCTGGTGCGCCTGCCTGCGCCCTCTCTGTCCTGCTGGCCCATTCCACGTGCACCTGCACCCTCTGCCCAACACTGGCACTGGCCACTGAGGGCCTCTTTTTCTCTCAACACAGAAAGCTGCTACCATGAGGGAGGCAAAGGAAGGTGAGAGTGAACCATCGCTGTGGGCACCAAGTGGCTCTGCTCAGGTACAGGTCTGGCTGCCACTCTCTGCTGTGCTGTGGGGCCTGGGGCATTTTGGGTTCAGGTCCCTCACCCCTGCTTAAGTGACTCAGGTTGGTTCCTAAGCCTGTCCCCATGCCCCAGGGGCTCTCACAGGCCCTCTCCAGTGAAACTTCACAACAGGGCTAGGATGGGACTCATGGCCTTGCCTTCTCTTTCCCCGGCCCCTCTCGCAGGACGGCAGGGACAGGGCAGCAGAGGAGGGACCCCGCAGACGGCTCTCCCCGCTGCGCTCCAGCTCCCCGCAGTGCCGCCAGGTCTCACCAACATGGGAGCACGAGGCAGTCCTGCAGGCAGCACTCCACCAGCACCAGCAGCTTGAGCAGGTGAGGGGACACGAGGGGGGAAGGGAGCTCCGGATGGAGCCAAAGTGGTGGCAGTGGGGACAAGAGCTGGCAGGGACGGAGCCCCGAGGTGGAAGTTGTGTTCCACCTGCTGCAGCGGCCCTGGCACGGGGGACACATCCAGGTGGATCATCTCTCTCCCGGTGGGCAGGAGCTGCGCTCGCAGCTGGAGTCAGCCCAGGATGCGCTGCGGGCAGCGAGGAAGCAGGTTTGTGAGAGCCAGCGGGAAGTGCAGGAGGCAGAGCAGCAGGCGCAGGAGCAGCGGCGAGGCCGGGAGGAACTGGCAGAGGCCCTAGAGGAGTGTAAGCGGGACCTGCAGCGTTGCAAGGCCTCTGTGGAGATGCTCGGCCAGTGAGTACTGGGGAGCAGAGCTGTCAGGTGCCCTGGGGGAGCCTGTGGAGGGGCTGCAGAGCTCAGCCCCGCTCCTGGCCTTGTCTCCTCAGGGAGAAGCAGGCCGTGGAGGTGAAGGTGGGCAGCCTGAGCGAGGAGGTGGATTCCTGCCGCCGGGAAGTGGCCAGGCTGGCAGCCGCCAACGTGGAACTGCACAGACATGGGGCCCTCCTGGAGGAGCAGAAAGAGGAGCTGGCCAGCGAGTGGCAGAGGAGCCGGAAAGAGCTGGAGCGAGGGTAAGTTCAGCCTGGCTACACGGCTGCAGCCACCAGCAAGTCAGCCTTCACCCACGGGCGCAAGGCCACAGCAGGCAGCCTACCCCGAGGGCCCTGCTCCCAGTGATGGGGAGGCCGCCTCTCATGTGGGTGCCAAGTGATGGCTCACCCTTCTCCAAGCCAGCAATGCAGCTGGGGACAGGCCTCATGGTGAGGGCTGTGGTCTGCCCCTCATGTTTTGCCTCCACTTCCAGGCAGCAATCCCTGGAACAACTGGAGGAGAAGGCCTCAGCCCTGAAGAAGGAGCTGGTGGGGGTGAAGGAGTCGCTCAGCCAGGCCACGCTGGCCAGGGAGGTGCTGGAGGGCGAGAAGGACAGCCTGAGCAGTGCACTGAGGAAGGTGAAACGGAGAAGCACATCCCTGGAGCCTGGGGCGGGCAGCTGAGGAAGAGGCTTCACAGTCCCTAGCACAGCCATTGCTCCTGTATGGTCTCCTCACACGTCCTCCCTCCCCAGAACATTCATGCATCACTTATCAGATGCAAGGTGTCACATGCAAGGTGTCAGCTGTGGTGGAGCATTTTGTAGGAAACACATTGTGTCTGAGAGTAGCACGTTGCCAGCACGTGGCAAGGCATTAAAGCTGTGCCAGCTAGTCCAGGCCTGCAAGGCACAAGGCAACCCCTTGTGCTTGGCTTTGCCCCGGCAGGCACCAGGCCCTCTACCTTGGTGGCTGTGCCATGTGCTGTGGCTGCAAGGGAGGGTCTCCAGCTCTCCTAGGTGACAAAGCCGGGCTCTTCCCCTTCCTGCAGGCTGAGGCCACCTGTGCCAAGCTGGAGCTGGCCCTGAACAAGATGCAGCTGGAGGAAGCGGAGCTGAGAGACTCGCTGGCCAAAATGGCCGCCCTGAACGAGGGCCTCGCACAGGACAAGGTCAGCCTGAATGGCACCGTCCTGCAGGTAATGCACACCCGCATGGCCTCAACACCTGCACACCACCGGCTGTGCTCACCCAGCCCTTTGCCCTCCTGCCACGCGCCCGTCCCACTCCCAACTCTGGGAGATGGCCCAGCAGAGGAGGCGGGAAGTCTCTCCCCTGGGACTGCCCTGTCCTTCATCGCCCCGGGGTCCTTTTCCCACCACCTTTCTTCTAGCTGGAGGAGGAGAAGAGGTTGCTGGTGGAGCGGCAGCAGGAGCTGGAGCAAGAACGTGCCGGCCTGCAGGAGCAGCTGGCACAGCTGGAGCGGGAGCAGGCCCAGGCGAGCATGGCCCAACGGGGCCTCGAGCAGAGCTGGCAGGAAGCAGAGGAGCGCTGGCGACAGCTGGAAGGAGAGCTGTTGGCCACACACCGTAACAACGCCCAGCTTCAAGAGCAGCTGCTGCAGGTACAGCGGGGCCCCTCGCCACCACCTTGACCCGAGATGGTGGCTCCCACCCTGCCTCTCCTCTCCCACCCACAGGCAAGTGGCCAGGAGCAAGTGCTGGCGGAGCAGCTAGCGCAGAGCCGCCAGGAGACAGAAATGCAGGCTGCAGCTCTGCTCCAGGCCCTGCAGGAGAAGGAGGACCTGGCCAAGGAGATGTCCAGGCTGGCGGTGCAGCTCACGGTGCTGGAGAGGCAGGGGAAAGGCCTGCTGGAGGACACGGACGCTCTACGGTACTGCCTGCCACTTGGCTCGTGGTGGGAGGGCTGCTCGGGACCAGCTCTACTTCTTGGGGTGTGAGGCCACGGCAAGAGCCCCCAGTACCCCTACTGCCCACCCAGGCTGCTCACACCTTTCCCAGGATGCGCCGGGGTGCCTGGGGGTGCGTTTGTGCTGGTGTGGCGGAGGAGAGCCAGCCTTGGCCCATCTCTGGAGGCAGGGGTCCCCGGCGGGGCCGCCCGCTGAGCAGGCTGCTGTGTTGCAGGGCTGAGAGGGACTCCCTGGAAAGCAGCCTGTTCGAGGCGCAGGAGCTGGCGGCTCGGCTGCAGGTCCAGAAGGAGCAGCTGGAAGCAGAGAGGCAGAGCAGTGAGCGGTGCAGGCAGACCCTGCGAGGTAGGGCCCGGCCTCCCCAGCCCCTTGCTCGCCCGGCCCTTGGGGTGGCAGAGCAGCGTCGCTGAGCGGGGA